ACTACTGTTTGTAACTACATTATTTGCAGACCATACCATCTGTGGTAAAATCTGCATGAAAGGCCAACAGAAAGAAGGAGAGTGTCTGATCATTTCTTCTCATGGCATAGATTCTTAATCATTAAAAAAAAAATATAAAAAAATTAGCCTTAGAGAGCCTTTCCGAACCTTGATAGTTTCTGTGGGGTTACTGTATTCTGGAACTTTTGATCACATAAAGTGTGTGTGTGTGTTTCGGAGCTATTTTCACTATGTGAAGCTGATCTTAGAAACTCTTCAATGTTTTAAGAGCTTTTAGGATTTTTTCAGGGGAGGGTGTGATGCAGATGCGATCATTCCAGACTGTGATGTGTTTTTTGTCATGGTGCCTCATCTTCACAACTTGTCCTTCTCCCCATCTTTATCCAGTCTCCCATGGAAAGAGCAATACAAAGGTTTGTATTTTGAAGGGAAACTGAGAACACCTACTTTCCCTCAAGCGGGATGTTTGTATGTTCTTTCGGTGTCACTATGATCAATGGCCTAAGTTATATACAGGTATCTAGTGTTTATACAGTGTGTACAGCTTCAGCTTTGCTGGAAGAAAACGAGATGGTTTCTTTAGTGCTGTCTATAGAACTGAAGTTAAGAAGAGAATGGAATGATTTACCAATGATCTTTAAGTCTTTGTTTTATTATTATGGTAGCATAAATGCTACATAATACATCTCTACAACTGTAACGGTAATATTCTCAACTTAATTTGCTTTCACACAGAATTTTGTTTTGGTTCTCAATGCAAAATGAGCTTAACGCTTTTTCATTTTATAACACCGTAATTATGGAGTAAGCAGAAATTTAGCAGGGTGGAGATGGGGTAGTGAGGAACAATTAATAGTTTGTAACTTTTAATCCTTACTTGCGGAATTATCAAAGGGAAAGAAATGTAAGAGTAGGTATGGTTATACGATGTAAAAATTCAATAACCTGATTCCTTTTTTAAAAAATAGGGAATTACATTTTTTTTTTTTTTTAGGTTACCAGTCAAGTACACAAAAGTTAGAAACTAGAGTAGTTCAAACTGTATGAGCAATTCATTCACTGACACGTTTAGGTTCTGGCAATCTTTAATTATGTAGTCTCCTGCTTCTTTTTGCTCAAACTATTCATGTAGTGAAGATATATGGTAATGGAGGAAGGAAGGGAGCTCGGTAATATCTTTACTATTCAGTAAGCAACTCTTACATAATACAAAGAGTGCAATGAGTTGATAGTTATTAATTTCTGCATGCACTTCTTCGAGAGTGCTTCTTAATGTATTATTTTAATGGCTCAAAAGTATTGATTCAGCACCTCTTTGAGATGAAGCAATATTGTTTTCTCGTTGGTAAAATTAGTGTAATAAACAAGATGTGATCTGGGGTCGCAAAAAATAATCAATGGTGGAGCAGAATTAGAATTCAAATTCACCTGCCTCCATGCTGTGCTGGTTTCTCCAGAAAATAATGTGAGTTGGATGTCTATATTCAGTGGCCATTACGAGTGTCAGGCACGTCGTCATATCAGGTTCTGTTGAGAACATGCAGTTAATGTCTAGCAAAAAGCACCTTTTTTTAGCCTGATATTCACATAGCAGTGAGGCAGTGACAGATACAAAATCTCTTAAATATTGTGCTCTTCCTCCTCTCCTTGGTCTTTTTGCCTACTATTTCCAACTTCTGCAACAAGTGGAGGAGCGATCATATGGATTTCCTTATCCCTGCTTAGCCTTGACTGATTGTTGGAGTACCGTCTACCTACTATACTGAACAAGTAGGGGTCCTACTAGAAAACATGCTAAGTGCTCCCGTAGTTAAACATGGTGATAATGGGAATAAACACCCCAGGGGATGAATTAAAGTTGCACAGCAAACTTTCTGACTTGTGAGTGCTTTACTTTGAACCTAAACAATATTGTATCTTTAACGCAAAAACAAATTCTGTCACACATGCTGGCAGGGTCGTTATAGTTGCATGTCAGTGGTGCTGAAATGTTCCAGGCAGAAGCACAGCTTGAGCTCAGGGCTAACTGCATTAGTTGGAAACAGGAGCAAGCTGTTTCTATAAAGTTGAAGGGGAAAGGTCAGTGTGGCAATGGGCTTATTGCAGAGGATTGTTGGGATTTCACAGACCCATCCTTTCTTCTCCGACTTGTTCAAGTGGTGGGAGGGAAGCACTGGAGACAGAAACAGGGTCTTCTGGTCATGAGTTGAACTTCTGGTGGGAGGAGAAAGTAATTTTATTGCGCTCTTATCTCCCTCTTTACACCTGGGGAGGTGTGTGGTAGTGTATGTAACTTCTTCATTCCCGACCTGTGTCTCTGCACCTTCTAGATGATGCTTGAGATTTTGGAATTTAGTGAAGGAAGCCCAGCCCCATTGTGTCTTTTCTTCTTTTGAAAAGGTATCCTCTGTCATGTTTATATGTTCAGGATCTTTTTGTGGGTGTTTGGCAAAGTGGGATGTTACACGGGTGTTTTTTTTTTTCTTGATGCCAAATTATTATTGGTTACATAGATTGCTGGAGGCCTGCTCATTTTTACTTTTCCTTACTCCTTGATGCACACTCTAAGTTTTGGCTTGTCCATAGCTGAGAAGGATTTCAAAGGCTGTTTCTTCCCAAAGGCATATTATTTCTCTTGTAACGTAAGCTTCAGCAGCCATCTTGATTGGAAAAAAAAAAAAATCTTGAGTTTTTTCAGTAATGGAGACTTAGTTGGAAGAGTTAAGAATTCTTTATTTTTAAAAAGTTTTTGACGGTGTCATGATCATTAGATATATGTATCATTTATATCTTTTTCCCTCTTATCTTCATGACACCTGTGACTATAATAAGGGTCCTATTGCTTTTCTTTTTATTCAGTTTTCCTTTCACACTGCAGTATTTCCAGTTTGAATCTCCTGTATTCATATTTTAAAAGTTACAAAGATTTTTTCTATGAAAATGGAATAAAACTCTTTCTCTAGTTCATGTGGAACCTTATATCGAGTCCCAATATCCATTTTCCTTGTTCTACTAAACAAAAACCCAAAACTAAATAGAAATTAATGTTCTTGCCCTAGAGACCATTTCCAGCCAGGTATTATTCAGTTTGTTTAAATGCTTAGTCATATTGTCCAAATTGCCTTTTTTCAATGTGATTCCTCTGATTTTTTCTTCAAATTAATGTTGTTTACCCACTTGTTTAGTTGCATCCTGGAAATAGCATGCAGAAGAGGGCAAGGCAAGAAAACTACAAGACGGTGGATCCAGTGCATGAGTTCAATTTTGCTTACCTTTTACTTTTGGGTACTACAGTAATTATATTTATGCCTGATGCCCAGAAAACTAACTGTCCTTTTTCGACCTCCTTGTCAGCTGTTGCTGGACTTGCTCCTTACATTCCTGTCATAGGAAAAGCCACCTACGTACAATGTAGGTCTTCTTCATTGGCTGGTTCAGTTTTAAAAGGATATTGTTGTTTAAAACTTTACTCTTTGTTTTAAAGTATCATTTTCACGTTTCCAAGGTTTTAATGAATGCTGGTACTTGCTGAAGAATCCATCTTTACAAGATAAACCAGGGCGATTATTGTAGACCTCTTCTAAGTAGACATGTATTTACAGCTTTGGTAATATATATGTATTTCAGTAGTAATGGAATAAGAATAGAAACAGTGAGGTGAAAAAATTTTCCTGGTAAGAAATAAGCTCCAGTGATTGGAAACATAGTTCAATTGTCTCTGCCATAAATTTGAGAATAAGTGTCATATACGGGTGATAAAAATGGCATAGGCTATTTTTTATATACTCATTATTCACTTAGTTTGTCTTTTTCAATTAACGTGGAGTCTATCTTTCTCATCTGACTGGGTTTACGTTTCTTTCATAATCATATGTCAACAAACCACAATAGGTGCAGTATATGTGGCATACAGTGTAAATCTTTAGGTTAATCCTTAACATTTTTTATTATATTTCATTTGGAATCACTTTGTAACTTGATCATGATTTGTACTGGTGTGGTTTTTTTTCATGATACGCTTAATATGTTACAGCTTGATCTTTTCTCACCTATTTAATGTAGAGAGAGGATGCTCAACTACTCAGCCAATGAGATTAGATATATCTCGCGATTAGATATCCTTGATTATAATATTTTTCTTTAACTTCTTAAAAGAGTTGTCTTATCTGTTTACTTCATTTGAGGAGTCTTAGCAGTTTGGATGTACTTCTGCTTTCTAAATCACTAACAAAATTGTTGAGCGTCAACATTTGTCACGATACTCACTTTTTATGTGGCAACATGGCAAGATGGCCTTGCTTTTGGGGATTTAAGGTACAGCAGTTTCTAAAGGCCGTCCTTTCCAGGACTTTGTGCTAAAAGGAATGGTCATCTACCTGTTAGGCTGGATCAATGTCATATTTTTAGACATCTTAGAGTGTCAGTCACTTTTATTTTACATCATGTGTTCTGTTTCTGTATAAGTATATATTTTTTTTAAAAGCCAGTTTAGCAAACTCTGGAGAGAGACTTAAATATAGTTGGGAAGGAAGGGGGCGAGCAGAAGCAAAATCCTCGTATTTCTTGATTCAAGAGGACAGGCAGTCACAGATATTGCTTGATAATTTGTATTCAGACCTGTTCCCTATTAATGAATTGCATGAAAACTTTGAAATCAAATTAATAAATTGCTTTCTAATGCCAGCCCATGTAAAGCTGAAAGATATGTGGCAGTTTGTTTCATGTTGGTCACCTTTGGACAGTGTGTGTGCACAAATGTGCCTAGCTTGCAGCTATCTTCCCGAATTCTCTGGCCTGCCTTCACAAATTCTCTGGCTTGCAGCCGGCTTCTGACTCTCTCAATCCTTGAGGTGGAGGAGAGAGATGGGAAAAGGCTGGTGGCTGAAGAAATTGTTCCGCTGACCTGCCATTCCCTTCTTGTGTGACTGGCAGTGCATCCGCCCAGTGACCCCATGCAAGTGTCCCTTGTCATATGACGGATGCGTGTCCAGCCCCGAAACAGGAGCCTGCGTTCTCCTCGGGTCACGGACAGGGAGCTGCCTGCGTGCCCTGCCATGTGAGTGGAAACACACCTATTTCATCGCCAGTTTATAATTGTTCTCATGTCATTTGAATGGCATGAACTCATCAGGTGATGAAGAAGTGACTAACTTTTTGATAATGTGATAGACGACATTTTGGTTACCTACTGGAGGAGGGGAGAAAGGAAGACCCAGGGCACAGTCTGAGTACCTCTGTGAGAGTCTGTTTGGCCCACCCTGACGCAAAAATGAGGTAGTTCTGTCCTAAATATGTTTGTTTATTAAGTGCGACTTATGATCACGATACTAAGCCCTGTAAACAACAAAAGTGCTATGATTTGTTATGATTAGCAGTCTTTAACGCAGCACTTGCTCTGGGCTAAAAATTTACAACATTCTTGAAAAAGCCCATCTGTGTTGTTTCAGCCTTCATGAAGGAAAATAGCCCCAAAGACAAAACGATGAAAAACTTGCAGTGTTGTCTGTTTATAGTCATGGAAGTAAGGAGAACCACAAAATGTTTTAACAATGAAAAGCAAAATAAATCATAACTTTTTTCATTGTAAAAGGAATGTAGATGAAAATGAAATTAAAATGGCTTTTTAGCTTTTGACTGTTGTATGAAATGGCAATTAAGCTTTGAACTGTATGAGCCGGTTGAAGTGGACAGAGCTAGACTGTAGAGTGACTTCCCTTTTCTGTCAGTTTGTAACCTGTATTGACAGAGCAATTTATGAGTGGATTGTATCAATCAGATCTTTCAGTTTGGCAGCTGTTGTTCATTTCTGGAGGCAAATAATTTTTCTGGGGCAGAGAAAGTTAAAATAATGAGCTTTAAGAAACAGAGCAACATATATGGGTCTTCAAGCTATTGGGCAGTCTAACACACAAGCTTAAAAAAAGGTAAGAGGTGTTGAATAGGTTTCCAAAGTTTATTTCTCTTTGAAATTTTTGTGTTTTCAATGGAAACAGCTGAGTTTCTGCAATGTGTAATACTAAATAGCTGCTCAGTTTGTTAGAAACAAACAATTTATGGAAATAGATAACTTGTTTGTTGTGTGGTAACTGATTAGTAAAAGTGCTTTTGAATCAGAAATCTGTTCAAAGATGTTTTGTTTTTGGAGTTTATCTTTTATTGCTTTTTAAATTTCTCAATGGACCAACTGCTACTCAAGCATGAAAGAAACACATCTACACTGAAGTGCTTGTGACTAGTGGCTTACACTTTCCTTTTCGGTATAGCATTAAACTAGCAGAGGAGAGATCAAGTTTTGGATCATCCTGGAGAAGGAAGAGCAAGTAAGTGACTAGAATAGCGGTGAGAAACGGGCAAATTTTGCTGCGTCTGTCTGAAGTTCACTGTATGAGGCTTGCATCTGTCATACTGAAGTCCTGAGTTCTGTTCTCATTCTAAGGTAAATCACTCTGAGGAATGTCAGAGAAATTGCGTGAACGTTCCCTTAAGCCAGTGATGAAGCTCTCTCTAACAGCAGGGATTGCTCCTTCCATACTCTTCCACAGTGTGGAAGTTGAGGTAGTGAAGAGATGATCATAACTTAGATAACTTTCTTGCTTCTTGTCCAGAGGAGCTTAGTATAAGTTACTAATCCCGTGTGCATCTGGCACATCCTGAATGGGTTTACAACACTAGATCAGAAGGTGGCTTGAGCAAGGTATATGACATTCTGTGTAACTGAGTAGATAAGAAAATCTATGATACAGTAACATGTGATTTTCCAAGTATATTGCTTATTTAGCACCCTGCTGAAGATCATGTGTACATCAGGTCTGTCTTCATATTTTGGTGTTGTGATGAATCAAGCTATATGCCTTCTCTGGACATATGGAAGTAATAGTATTCCATGACGAGAACAGTGCATTCTGTTTGTGACTACCTAAGCTCACAGAACTTGTTTTACAATCTCACAGAAGAGGGAAGCCATCCCAGGGATGTCTTCCCTGTAACTGCTGCTGCTGTTTAGAAACAACAAACTTATCAGGAGCTTGTGCATGCTTGCTCTCTTTCTGTCTCTCTCCTCCCCTCTCCTCCATCTCATTATCTACTTTTACTGAGAAGAGATGGAGCATCTACTTCAGCCCTGTACCTCCATGGTTGAAAATTCTGCATTATTTCTGCTTTTGAAGTCCAAGCTTTTCCTGAAAAGAGCAGATTGTGTCAACAATGTAGTTAGTCCTCAAATTTTTGTATCTACAGTGTATTCTAAGCCAGAAGTGGTAATTCTTTCTTCTGATAACACAATTAAGGAGTATGTGCGGAAAAGAAACCAAGTTATCTCAACATTTGTGTTTGAAAAAAGCTTTGAGAGTCAGTTAAAACCAGAGACGACCGAGTTCTCAGCTGGGTTTTGAGCCCTTCCAAGAAGTAAAGCAGCCCACTGAGTTTAAATGAAGACTGCAGAGGCAAAGTTTTGTGACTAATCAGTGTCCAAAGATTACTGTGCAAGCATCGCTCCTTATTTATAAATGTGACTAATTGCTCTAAGCTTTCACATATTGCTGCCTAGGTAGAACTTTGAAGCTGCTATCTAATTTTTGAAATAAATATGTAAAAGTATGAAGGAACAAATATTTAATCAGCATGTCCCTCCCAGAGTGAAAGGTTGATCTGTACTGGAAAATCCTGTTGGGTTTCATTGAGGGGAAAAACTGTTGGTGGTTTTGTTTTTTGCCCTCAGTAGTAGAAGTATCGGGTCTTTTGACCTAAGGGAGGTTTTGTGGATGGTCAATGTTTTGGGATCGCGTGGATCCTCATTTGCCTGCTTGATCGCAAATTATAATCATTGGAATTTATGAAGATGTATAAATTTTCTGTGGGTTAGGACAAAATGTTTCCAGGGATGCTTGGTGTACAGCACAGAGGCTGTTGGGGGTGTGTCTGGAGGATTCATTAATACACATGTTAAGTGCCTTTCCTTCTGTCCTTTTAAAGAAGGAATGTCATAGAATTGAGTGTGGGTCTCTACCCTTCAGGACTGCTCTGGAAAATGTAGTGGGGAAGATTCTCTGTCTTATGGGGAGAGGGATCAATACCATTCTTCAGAACTCTAAAACATTTTCCAAAATGTAGATTTTGCAACATTTTGTGATGACAGCAAGCCAATCTAAACATCTAAATAATAACCTGGTAAATTATTTATAAAGAATGAAACCTTTGTAATAGCTATGCTAGTGTTCTCAAAGAGTAGCTTTTGACTTAATTTGTTTTCTTGCAGCCTGTAATATAAAGTGGGATGTTTCTGTTGAACTTCTGTTTTCTAAAGAAAAAAGCAGGCAGTTATGGCTTGCACTTACGACATCTGCAGTAAATATTCATTTAATGTTGTTTTAAAATGTAAACTTTTGCATGCAAACATTTGAGTGTTACTTACGTATGCTTTCCCTTATTCACTGAACAGTTATTATCCATACAGCTGGGAAATTTAAGTTAACAAGCCGGATTTTTTGGTCATATTTCTACTTTTTCAGTTTTTGGGATAATCGTATGTTGAGTGGTAACTATAAGAAACTTTTACAGTTAGTTTTGGCAATCATTTTAGTTAACCGAGCAAACATACTACTGGAGGAGTTACACTCCCCCAAATTCTCAGTCACTGCATTGTTTTTTATCCTATGGAATACATATTTACTATATTACAAAGAACCATGGTAACTTTATGGAATGCTTTGATTCTACATGACTATATAAATGTATCTTCTGTATAAGAATTAAAAATTACAGTGCAGGTTAGAGATTTAAAAGTTTGTGATTCTACAAGTGCAGGTATGCTTAACTTCAAGTACATGCTTGGGCTTGACTCCTTCAATATGGTTATTGTGCCTACCTAATTATTTGCAGGATTAAGGCTTTGGATATGAACTTTTAGTCAAGTAGGGAGTTCAGAGACAATGTAAGAACATTTGAAAATACTGTAACCAGTAAGTGACCTATATTAGTAGCTGGGTAGGCGTTACTGTGGAAATAATGAATTGCTCAACCATTTTTGTAACTTGAACTTCTGAAATAACATGGCAGTAATACATGCATAAAGGCTATTTCCATGTTTTAGCTTTATCCCTTACTTTAGGTGATGGAAAGTAATTGTTATAGTAGTGCAATTTATTAGGACTTATGTGGCATAATTAAGTGAGCAAGAATCAAATGTCACTGTAGGATTTGCTGTGCTAAGCGTAAGTAGATCAGAGAACAAATGTATCCCATTTAGAATCTGAAATGTCTGTTAACGATGCTGTGTGTAGGCCTGAAAATAATTTTCATAGTTTCTTCACAGTAGTATCAGGACAAACTCATTACAGCAGTATTTATCTCTTTTTGAGGTGTACGTTTTTTTTTCCTTCTTTATTTAGATGTTGACACGTTTATTTCCCAAACGCTAAAAGGAGAAAATCTATCCAAGAAAGCAAAAGAAAAAAGGGAAATTCTTCTTAAGAAGATAAAAGATGTTAAGGCAAGGTAAGTGAGCTTCATGGCTTTGATATGTTATAAAGTCACTTACTGATAACTTAAGTTTTTACAATATTTTAATAACCATTAACAATTAGAAATCTGTCTAGGTCCTGATTTTGTCAAATAATCTGTATGGGTTCAAGTATTTATATCTTTCTCAAAGCTGCTAGAATTTACTAAGAAATGGGAACATAAGGATTTGTCCTATTTGAATTGCTGTAATATTCTGAACCCTGATTGCAAGCTGGTAGGGTAGAACTTGCCTTCACCTCTGCTTTGGTAAGATTCATTAAAATATGAGAAATATAATGCATTGAGAATATGAATGAGCTTCCTGTCGCCATACTCAGCTGGTGTAAACCAGTATAATTCAATGCTGACTTTGCTTTACTATATATTCTGTCATTTAGCTCTGTCTGTAATAGCAAATTGAAACAGAACTGGAAACTAGAGATCATAAGTTTGTTTCAGCAGTGTTAAAATAGTGAAGTACTATGACAGACCAAGCAGAGGGCTGCGTGTTTTTTATTTTTTAATATCAGGTATGATTTGAGACTCTGTTCTATTGTGTTTTAATTTCCGTCAAACAATTCAGCTAAAGAGATTCGGCTGTAATTTTATTTGTGCTACAAAATTTTCTTTGCAAAATCTCTTTTCTTACAACTCTAATCAACTAGGATATAATCTGGTACTTGCTGTTCTGTTCCCATTGTTGTTTCCAAAGTGTTTTTCTACTGATCACTTCCGTTGGATATCTCCTAACCTTTACTTTGATGACATGCTCCTGCCTCTGTGGCAACTTGTTTGCAATTTCAAAGACAGCACAATCATCTGGTGAAGGCATCATTCTTTGTATCACACTAACTGCGTGAAGACAGGAGTTGTGTCCCAAAACCTTGTAATTGGAGATTTGTGTGCCTTTAATTCAGGCTGTAAATGCTTAGGGAACTTTTTTTTTTTTAAGGGAACCAGGATTTTCTTTCTCTTTTTTTTGTGCTTTCCCTTCTGGGTTATTGTGCTAACTGGGACTGTGCAGATGACTTGCAGATACAGCATTGCTGACTTTTTTCTTCAGTCTTATGACTCAACTATGTTTTTTTGGATGATGAAATATTGAAGGAGGGAACCTGCAGTTATGAGCACAGTTGACACTGAATCCTTTGCTATTCACTTATATGACCCCATGATTTCACGTCTTATTTTAATTTCTAATTCCTTCCTCGTCTCCTATAATATTATTCATTGTTAACAGCGGCTGCAGGCTGCAAAATATATGCACTTTGTAGTCGTCTTTGATTTTCACATCCCTCATATCAGGCTGTGCTGAACTATTACTGCTACTTTTATCTCTGTTTGCATTTCTTAATTTCTTATCCCTAGACCCTTGCTTTCTCTCCTGCTCATTACTTGTAAGCATCTCCTTACCGACTTGCCTGATACATGCACTACTGCTTGTTGTCCATAAAGATGGTCTTGGTAGCTGCATTTTATTTGCCAGGATTTCTGGTGAAATCCTCTTCTTTTGGCATAAACTCTAGTCCATGCATTCTTCTTGAGATGCCATTTTACATAACTCTGTCCTGATTATTTATCTTTATACATCAAACTGTATCCTATGATTATTTTTGTTTCTGAAATATCAAGATTTAGCTCTGAAGAAACAGTATTTTTTTCCCTCTGGGATAGAATTTTATCTTTTTTTTAGGCATTAAATAAGTTGAGATCTTCTTATTTGAAAACGATTTTTTTTATTTAGGCATGCATTAACTTTTTAATTTCTGGTTGATTATTAATACTTTTTCATTTGGATTTGATGAATTACTGCAACTAAAACCACTATTTGTAGATTTTTTCCTGTTTTGCTGACCTACCATGTTATTTTTAAAGTATGCTTAGGGGCTTTTACTTATGCACAAAACTTTTTGAAATATATTAACATTTAGAAGGTTTACTAAAATTAAAGTTGCTTTTGTATGTTTATACCTTAAAATATCTGAGTAGATGTATATTCCTAGAAAAGGCTGCTCTATCTGAGTTTGGTTTTGTTCAAGTCATCTTTGAAGTGACTGGGGGTTGTCTCAACTGCAAAGGCAAAAGAAAAACTGAGTAAATATTTTAGCCAAAAATAGAGACTTAAAAATGCTTACAGAAACCTTGCAGTGCTGTTTCAACTACAAAACTTGTTGAAAACTAGTAACTGTTTTATGCTATGTTCTAGTACCGTGGATTTGCAAGTGTGCATTGCTTTATGTTGTTTCTTCTTCTTTCTGCAGTTATCCTCAAGAATTCCAGGATAAAGGTAAACGTCATGCATTATTCCGCCGCCCCCCCACCCCTCCCGCCCCCGGTGTGTTTTTGCCCGCTGCCAGGCTCTCGGTCGCGTTCCCCCGGTTGTTGCGGTGCCGGGCTGTGCCCGGCTCCCCTCGAGGCCGAGGGGGCTGGCTCCCCCTGCTGAGCAAAGCCGGGAGAAGCTTCCCAGTGGCAAAGTTCTCGCTAAACCATCGCTCAAAGCTAGGTCCCATTTCCTTCATGACACACATCTGAGAACGCTTACTGATGAAAAGATTAGTTTAGAAAGATAGTTCAGAATTTAATATAAATGGAGCTTGTTATATCTGGCTTAATTAGCAGTAGCGTAGCGTTGCGAAAGACCATGTGATGCAGGTTTTTTTTTTTTTTCCCAGAGGAAGTGCATGCAAAGCAGCCTGCTTAGGAGATAAAATTTGAATAGGGATAACTTATTTCAGCCTTTTTTCTTAACACTGCGAAAGTCTTCAATTCCATAGTGATGTTTCTTCAACCTTTTAATAGGATCATCTAGTGGCAATATGATATTGGCTTTCGATCCGCACTGAATGAATAGTTTTCATAGTGCAGCGGGAGCTCAGACCTTTAGTTGGAGAGGAGACAATTTAGCTTGTGGGTAATGAAAGCTGAAGTGTGGGTTATCTATTGTCTTCTAGTGGAGTTAAAACAAAGCTGCAGAGTTCAGTTTAGAAAAGACTGAGGAGTTTGTTGCTACAGTGTTCTGTTCTGGAACTAAACCTGGAAGGGCTCTTATTTCCATGATGCTAATTCTTGAGGTCGTGACCTATAGCCTGTGGATGCTGGTATGAGGGTCACAGTGCGAGGTCAAAAAAGCCTATGCAAAGCTTCACTTCTTTCAGTGGTTGAAGAACTGTCTGTTTCTGGACAAGGAGTTTCGAATGTGTAGGCTACAGTGTGCCTCCTGATAAAGTGAAAATATGTAAGTCGTGTTAGGCAAGTAATGTTATAACAAGGCACAACAAGTTCATACATTTCTTATCCCTGTTTAAGTCAAGTTATATAGCCATAACAGTTCAACTGAAAGAGAAGATACAACTTGAAACTTCCCAAAGATTGCCAAGATTTTGTAAACTCGGACTATATGATTCTTTAATAATTATATTAAAATAATTTACTATTTTTTTTTATATTGCACCTCAGCACCCTTACTGAAGTTAAAATGTAGTTTCCCTCCTCTCTTCACTGTCCAACGGAATTAAGGGTGGAAAAGTCAAATGTTATTTTATTAAGAAAATGACTAACATGAAATTAGGTGGCATGGTTGTTTCATTGCAAATGCATCTGACTGGAGAGCATGTTTTTGAAGACTTAATGACTTTCTGAGGCTATGACTCTCTAATAAACATGAGAGTTGTCTACAAAGAACAGAGTTTGCATTGCTGGTTTGCTTTTTTTTGAAGGTCAAGAATATTCTAGTCTATTTATTTTCTTCATTGGCAATTTGATTCAGAATTTCTTTTCCAATTCAGCAAATTATTAGTAAAGATGAGATTTCATTATCTCCAGTAAAATGGATGATTTAATTGATATAGTCTGTTACCATATAACTTGCTCTGATATCTGTGAAAATTGTATTCAGTCTTATTCTTTTTATTAGAGTGCTTTTGCTTCTTAAGAAGGATATATTGCTTTTTTTTTTTTAATTTTCATGATGTGTCTCTTTGGTTCAGATTGTAGAACTATGTACAGATGGTGAAGCTTGCAAATGCTGACACTTTAGTGTTCTTTCAGTATTTGTCAACAAAATGAGAGGGCTCTAAAGTTATACCATTGTTCTCTGCAAGTGAGGATAAATTTCTCCAAATTCATGTGCATTTACATGCACAAACATGAAAAATTCACGAGAAATGGGAGCCTGCGCTTATTTGCAAAATATTGGAGGGAATATGGTTTAGTGGTATGGGTTGTTGGTATAATTTCCAGAGTTCAAGAAGTGTGTGCTAAACTTTATTTGGTTGTGTCATTCTTACTTTAGGCCTGTACAAATTAGGCGTGACTTGTGTAGGTGTAGAACAAAGAACCCACATGGAGGTAAGCAGTCAGATTCTTGGCTAGCTACTAGTGTAACAAAGCAGCGGCAGCAGCTGAGTGGGGTCAACTTTTGTGCCCATTCATATCTCTGTGCACACCTAGACATTTGAAAAATGGAAAATCTGAGAAAAGATTAAAAACTGAGGTGGCAGTGCTGGTCAGACATTTTCCTGTTCCTCCCCCCTCCAGAGAAAGAAGAAATATCCCAAAACATAAGGTGAAAAAGGAGAATATCTTTTAGGAAAAAAGGAGGGGTGGAAGCAGAAATGTGGAAACAGCACTGAAACAGGCTAGGAAGAATAAAAACTACTGTGCACATGTAAACTCATATTTGCTCTTCCTTGTTTTGCAGTAGCAGTTACTCCATTTTTTTTAATGCAAATAAAATAATCTTCGTTGTAGCTGAAACGAAGGGTGAAGAATGATTCATACTATGTGCCATATTATCATGGTATAGTAATTATCATACTACATTAATTATCATACTATATCAGCTGTTTTCAAGAATCTTGTGAGTTGTGACCTGTCATCCTTCCAGAAGCATCCAGAAGAATCTTTGGGAGTCCAAAAGAAGTGGACTAACACTTTCAAAATTCATATATTTGCTGTATAACATAATGAAACTTGACTCTGGTCTCTCAAACAGCAGCTCCTTCAGCTTGTGAGTTGTTCCATAAGTATGCTTTGTGGGCATCAGCTTGTCACTCCACTCTCTTTCATCATTGCATGTTCTTGAAGTTCCACTGGCTTTGCATGTAGTGACTACTCAGTTTGACCAAGGTATTGTATGTGAGCTCCTGTTGTATGGGCTTTGGCCACTAGCATACAGAATCTTACCTTCCATAAAGATAAGAAAAGGAGGTTTAAAAGAAGAATAAAAAAAAAATTGAAGAGCATGTGCACACGTAGAACCAGGCTCCTGAAAACCAAAGTCATCCATGTGCATAACTCTCAACTTTCAGAAAGTGCATACATACTTCTTTGCAACCAAATTGATGAACTTGAGGACTTCCTTGCATCCTCTTAAAAATAAGCCTTCTTATGTTGTCTGTCAGGTCAGTAAATATGCTGACAAAAGCGTCTTTTGTGTCTACACACTGAAAAAATGAAGCTTTTTAGGGGAAGTGAGTACATGTGAAAATTCAAGACACAAAATTCATTGTACAGGAAAATATTTAATTCTCATGTGTGATGTGTTATCTGATTTTACACTGACTTTTACAGTTAAGTGTAATGTTGATTTATGGACAAAGAAAGTGCATGTTGTTCTTATGACCAAAAATGTACAATTATATTAATATCCAAACCACTAATCTTTCCACAAAATTTATTTTTATTGAGTTATGTTATTACATGTTTATTATTTTTATTTTAGTCTTAAAGTAAGGAACTCAGTAGAAATGTCTCTTTCTCTTAGACACTGCTGCTTTTTTTTTTCTTTTCATTTGAAATATTTGACTCTTCATCTCAGCAATGTAAGCAAAATCAAAAAGCCATTGTCGCACTCAAGGTGACCTGTTCGAGATCTTAGAATTGGGAGGGAGCTTGGAAACTAAGATAATTTTCATGCAAATTGGATTAATTTTTTATAAGACTAGTATTCCTCTGAGGATATAAAAGTCTGGACTTTGTCAAAGATTCTGAGTTAATACAGTTTTTGGCATTTCTCTGTTTTGACATTAATTGAATCAATACCATGGCTGCCAAAATGTTTAGTTAAAAGAACCTTGTTTTCAATTTATGCTAAAAATAGTGCTAAAGTTGGCAGAAGCACTATAAGCCCTAGAAACTGTATTTGTGTTTGAACCTCACTTGCCATCTGTTCTTTGCATTTATTTTAGTAAAATATATATTTTTAATCACTTTTCACAAAAGATTTTGGCTCAGTGTTGAAAGTGAGACACCAAAAGTACTAGCCAAATTGAGTCATAATATGGGAATTTGCAGAACAAGTTCCCTGTAAAGCACTCAGTGCACCTTATATCTAATCTGCAGCACACGACTTTGGCAATATTTATGCAGAAAAGTATGATTTGACATTTGCTGAACTACCACTTTTGACTCCGATAAAAACCAGTGAAGGTCCGCTTTTCATTTCACTGTAGTATAAGGGAAGATAAACCTGTGTCTCTTTGTAATTATTGGGAGCACCTGTAGGAAACCTTTAAATGACTCAGATGCCTCTTTGGCTCTTGGCAGAGCAGTGAGTGTCTGGAGCCTGAGACATCTGCTTCCTGGAAACAGTCAAGCTGATAGAGTAGCACTATATGCAAAGGCTTTGTATTTTCTTTTTTTTTTTTTCTGTTTTGTGTGGAGGTGATACTTCCTTTTTTGTCTCTATACACTATGTTTTTCTGGAAATGGCAGCAGGTAGGAGTCTTTTTGGACTTGAGAAGGGAGGCAGTAGTTTGTGGTCATCAGAGGGTGAGAGGTCTCTATTTTAACACACTTGAGCGTTCAGTCAGGAGCATAAATACATCGTTAGTATTTAACCATAAATGGGAAAGATACGGCTTTAGTTGTTGCGCAGTCCTTTGAGGATCATCATGATGTATTTCTGGAGAGACCATCAGATGCATTAGAAGCGTGCCAAACATCACTCTGTCCTGGAAGTCTGGAGGGTTTCATTGTAGGCAAGTCACTGTGTTGTCCCTTGCAGCTACACACAGCTGTTAATCTGTGAAGTGTCCGTGCCAAGTGCAATTTCAAGCAGCACAAGATACAGCCACCAGTGCAGCACAAAGTGGTCTTACCCTGATGTGCATCATCACAACAAGAGGCAGCTCAGCAAGTAAAAGTTGTGTTCCTTTTCTTGCTTGAAGCATTTTTGCTTACAAACCTAATGCTGTTTTAGTATTGTTTTAACAAATGGCTGCTAAAGAATTCCTACTTGACCTCTGCGAAACAAGCCATTAAAAACCATCATGTTAATGTGAGACTCTAGAAGACTCTTTAGGAATGAGAGTGTCGGAGCAGGTTGCATGGCAAAGCATACATCGAGAAAGTGGCTATGAGAAGAATCCAGTCTTGCAAGATGACTGGTGGATTGGGTCAGTAACATCTTCTTGAAAAATCAGCTGCAGCTATCAAGAGGCTAAAGTGTACCTGTGGCAGCTTGAAAGCAACTTTGGTTATTTTTGTGAAAAACTGCATAGGGAGGACCTTGCATTTATATGTTTGGTGGCTTCATCCAGTTCTTTGTTTGGTGGGTTCTTAGCAGAGCAGAGATTGGACAGGAGGAAGTGATTTCAACCTGCTGTGACTTGGGACCTCCCAAAATGGCAAGAAGCAGGGTGTTTTGACCTGCATGTCTTTTTATTTTTGTGAGTTGTTTTATTTTGCTTATACTTGAGCAATTTTAATGCATCACTCTGTCTAGACTTTTTTAGAAATAAAATGAAAGTGTTTAGTGATCTGGGGACCCTGAGCTACCAAGTGTCTTTTGGAGGCATTGGCTGAAACATCTTGCTTGCTCTTGTTTAGATTTAGTGGCTGAAGCAGTATCTTTAATGCTTCGGAGTTCATTACTATAATTACACTATTGCAGAAGAAATTGAATTCCTGGGGGGAAAAAAGAGTCTGGATTTTTTTTTTTAAACTGGATTCTTACAAAGTAATATGGTCCTGTTCATTATATTCACCTTGTACCAAGTCTGTTGGAAATCTTCAGAATAGGGGGCAGGGACTGAAGTGCAGCTCTTGTTACAATGAGGAGAGTTTGTCTTTTATGCTCCAGTCCTAATGTGATACACTTACCCTTTGGTATGCAGTATTTCCTAAATCAATAAATAAGCTGTAATGGAAAAGGTAGCATTTAATAAGGAAAGACATTGTATGGGTTTTTTTGCAGATAACATAAAATATTGATTATGCTATCAAACCTATAAGAGGTTATTTTAAATTGCAGAAACTGGAAAATAGGGTCAGTTCATATACATATTTTTGTTATTGTTGTAACTGTTAACTATCTACTGTTAATTAAACTTTCTTTTCAACTTCCAGATAAATCATACGGTATTCTGGGGAAACAAGAAACTATATTAATGAGCATCAACTCCTTAATTATCCTTGTGACTACATAACAGGGACACATTCATGTCATTTCTTTGTGCAATAACTTTTGCAAAGAAGTATTTTTAAACTGATCATTAATTTTATGACCACAGAAATGAGATGCAAAATTTATGCTGTTGTCATTGGCACAGGTTCAAGGCACTACTGACATTATGTGTGATTGTAATGGAATGGCTGCCAACTAATGAGTCTATAGACATTTCGTTTGAGCATGCTTTGCTTTTAGATGTCTGATTAGGCAGTAATGCTTTCAATTATGCCTGCAAATTGTATTGGATACATTTACCTGATGCCCATTGTTGCTTTGTAGTTCGGTTTTCTATTACATAAATGCAAGTTGAATGCTTTTCTTTAATTTATTGATGCTTTTCGGGTGTATTTTTGGGTACTTGGCACCTGAAGAGAAGAGTAGTGGATTGTGCTGCTCAATACTGTCTCCTCTGGCTGTTCAAGGAGCAACACACGTAGCTTCAAATGCAATTCTATCTAGTCTTCCTCAGTAGGTGGAGTATAAACTTCAGTGCAACACCTTGATGGAAGAGCATGTGAAGCGAAGAAAGGGCAGAGATTACTCTGAGTGGGAATGCAGGAGACCCCACAGAATCAACAGGAAGCCTCTCTATGAACTGTCAGGAGCAATATCCTTATATATTAATAGCGTACACTCCTAAGATGTCTTTTAACCCTGCCAAAATTAGGAGGCAAAAAACCAAGGCTGATACTAGCCTGTAGTCATTCTTTTATGTGAGCACATAAAAACGTTGTGAAACGTTGCCTGTTAAAGCTCCAGAGCACATTGAGTCAGCTTTCCTATCAAAATGCCTGCAGTTCTTCTATACAAATTAGATGATTTAAGGATTGCATTTCAGTGTATAATATAAATTTACAAATACTTTTATTTAATCTGAAATAATAAATGGAAGATTTTTAGTTTAATCTAGCCCTGCAGGGCTACAGGTTGCTTGTAGCTGTATTTCATGTCTGTGATCTCTTCTCCACATTTTTTACATAAAAAAGTATGGGTAGCTAAACATACTATTGTATGACATGGGATCTGTGTATTTGTTCTGATTGTCTTTCTCAGTGAGTTTTTTCCCATGGAAGTCTTCGAGCCTTTATTTAGGGTTTAACATCTAGAGAATGCTTTGAAGACTATACACTCTCTAAAAGCACTGAGCTTGTAACTTCTTTCTTCATAATATCTCAACAATTTTTTTGTTTTGTTTTAGGAGTATTTTGAACTTTGATATTGTAGACTTAGGACAGATACTTGTTTTATTGTAAGTCTACATTTGGTGTGCCCGTGTCTTTTGTGATTTCGAATACAGTATATATCTAGGATATGTACCTGGTGTTCCCTAAATATGTATGTATGTATTAAAAAGCCCCTTGTTTCTAGATCATCTGGCTTTTATATGAATGCAAAGCACGAAGGTTTACTGAATTTGAAATCCTTAGCATAATTAGAAAATTGTAGTATTGTCACTTAATGGAAGAGCAGGGTAACAGTGCAGCTATGCAAACTTACATAAGGAATCACAACTTCTCTGAAAGAGATTATGTATAGCCGAATGGGGCAAAATTTTCTGGAGATGTTCTTCCTATGTGTGTACTTGCATATTTTCATCCGTAAGTGCTACTCATTTCGATATACTTAGGTTTACTCTTACTATTCAGCCCATGAATTTTGAATGCTGCGGTGTGGTGTTTGTGGAAATGTTTTCCTCTAGAAATACAGCCTAATATTTTAAATTTATGCTGGCACCTTCATGAAGGTTAAATGATAGTACATTTATGCATAGCTGATAGAGAACATTTTCGACTGACAACCAGGGCATTGGAGGTGAGGGTTTATGTATACATATATTCTGTGCATTCTAGTACTAGTAAAAGTTTAGCACAGGAAAAAAGTAGAACAACTTTTCATACTGTATACGTTGTGAATATCATGTCTGCTCTTTTTATATGGAGTCTATCGTCTAATAAATATATATATAGAGAGAGACAGGCAACTGGTCTCTGGCATGTAAGTGTGAAAGATGATCATGCAGGTTGTAAATATGGCATAATATTTTCTGTTCATGTGCTATCTGCTCTCTGGTTTTCTGTTTGGAGGAAGAGGTGAATCCTAGAGAGGGATAATTTACTTTTGATTGGTTTGACAGGTGTGATGAAATGCAAATATTTTGGTCAGATTAACACGATGGCTGGAGTGCTACTGGAAGATGGTCGTGTCAAAAATAGATTGGAATCAGGTTCAGATTCAAAGCAGTTGTTATATGGCATGGGAGGAAGCTTTCCCAAGAAAAGCATACTATATTAATGAAGGGAAAACCAGTTTGGTATTCAACAATCTTGGGATGTAAAAGAACTCCAGCATAGCAAAAATCAGGCTTTGTTGTCTTATCTACATAAAAAACTTGCTCTTCTTTGCCAACAACTATGGTGCTTTTTGGGTATGGACTCTGAATTTTCCATGATTTTCCATTATTAAATGGGAAGCAAAGGGGTAAAACTCTCAGCCATGGACAGACAGTCCTACTGATGAATGTTATTCATGTGTCTGTGGAGAAGAATATTTTCACTATGCATGGGGTTTATTTTGGATTCTGAGAAATTAGTTATCCGATACAGTGCTCTAAAAGGGAACACATGAATAGAGAAGCATGTCTGGAGGTCTTTGGAAAGTTTTCTGCGTATGAATATACCAAAGGCAATGCTTGAGCAATTTAGCTTTATATGCTTTTTAAGAAAACTGAGGGTCATTTGATCTGTTGGAGTGTCAGCTTTATGATTTTTGGTTTGGTGATTTTTATCATATTTAATTATTGGGTTTTCCTCCTTCACCAACACTTGATTTTTTTTTTTTTTTTTTTAAAGGAACAATGTAGTTTATGTTATTTTTCCACCTTTTCTTCACTTAGATGGTATTAAAAAAAAAAATCTCAGAAAAGATAGTGAGTTTTGAGAGGGAGGACTTAAATTTTGGCTAATTAAATGAAAGCCTTGACTAATATTGATTTCACTTTACCTTTCCCAGACCTTCACACTTAATGTGCTCTGATCAGTGTAGTGCATAGGTTAGCTAATAATGTAGATTTTGTATATATTGTAGTGGGGCTCTCAGCTATGTAAGAAACTCATCAACAGAATGCTGCATTAGCCACAGGTTCAGACCGGGTGCTGTCAGAAGGCGATTCCATTTTTAGTTTCATGGGAGGAATACACATACACATGCAACATTTGCAAAGTAGCGCCTAATTATGGTGAAGAAAAGCAAAAGTGGGCAGAGGGCGACAAACTGCTGCCAAAAGTAGTTTGGCAGTTCCTTGGAGGGAAGTTGCTGCAGCTCCTTCCTGCACTCGGACAGGCAGAACTTCGGAGTTTGGTGCTGCCCGTTTCTCCTCCTGCCAGTGTTTCCCCTTGCCCACCTCTTTGCTGTGGTGTGTGTTGCTTTCCCCCCGCCCCGTGTGAGAAGCTGTCAGCTGTGCAGCGCTGGGAGCGGGTTCATTATATGACAGCATTTAGGGAAACCACTGCAGCCACATGTACGCGGCCGGTGAGAAGGTAGCCCTAGAACAGCAGCGCTCACAGCTGCGCTTGAACGAACAAGGAGCGTGTTACGAGAACACGTCTGTGAGAAACGGGATTTTTTCTGTTTCAGGCGGGGATTGGTATCCTCCTCATTAATGAAAATATCTGGCTTTGGATTCTGTCTGTGTTTATATGATAGATTATTTTAACTAGCAATGTATTTTTGACTTTCACAGAATTGGAAGATGAGGAAGAGTCTGAGGGCTCTTTTTCTTCGCCTCCTGATAGTGTCTCAATAGCATCTGACCGATATGATAAAGAGGATGAAGCACCTTCTGATGGTATGTGACACTGTTTACCTTAGAATGTACTAGATTTGCCAGTTTGCCACAAACTCATGTAATTGGATCCTCGTGATGCGAATGTTAGTGTTGGAAATCAGATAAATAGATAGGCATCACAGCTGGACAGTTTTCTTACCTTTACAAGAACCTTTAAAGGAACTGAAGAGCTCTCTCTAGTGGTCCTAGAGCACAGTGAAGCTGTCTCAAATTTACGTGGTTTTTTTTTAAACTCATGTTTTTTCATAACGAAGCATCTTCTGTAGATGCATATGTTTTTAAAGATAGATCAGTGGCTAAAAAAGTGTGAATATTTGTAGTAACAAATTGTTTGTTAATTCAACGTTATCAGATTCTTGCTTAATTTTATTGTGCTACTTAATGGCTTACTGTATTATTTATCTAATAAATAATGAAACAGTTTATGTGATTGATATTTTTGTGCAAACTCCATGCAGAATAGGTTCATAAAATATTAAATTAATTATTCCTACAATGTTTCCTTCCATTAAGACAGTCTTTTGTAGAATGTTTTCATTATATAAATTTTAAATTTGAGTTTGCATTAAAAAAAAAAATCTAGGCTCCATAGCTGTTTTCCATGTTGTTTTATTTTGTATTCATTAAATTTAATGCTAAATGCGACTGTTCTGAAGACATGAACAATTGAATATTTCAACAGTTAACAAGCTTGCTTTAGCATAGTGTCCATATTTTTGAGATTTGTTTATTGTATACATAATATAAGTACCTTTTATGGATAATATATGGCAATAAATTAAGTATATGTACAAATAAATTAACGATGTATATTAATTTGTGGCACTAGAAGTTAGATAGACTTACTAGTGAATGATGTTTTCTGACATGATATGATGATCAAACTGTGCAGCTCCATCTCGAAATACAATTGCTGAATGAAAATATGCTTCCTGCAACATAGCACTCCACATTTTATGTTATCCAGATTATTCCCTTTGGAAACATAAATTGCTTTTATGAGGTATAAAATTATGTCTATTGCAGAACAGGGATAAGTCAAGTACATGCATAAGTGATAAACCTTCTAACCACTGATTCAGAATAATGCAATTTTTTTTATATCCGGAACTCTGTGTGTAACAATAATAATCACACTTTTTATTTTTGTATTGAGCTTGTTGCATTTTGGCAATGTGACCTTCTATTAAAAAAATAAAAACAAGCCTTTTTTGCTTTCTGGTTGAAATGTAATTATCAGTCAAATTGAATATGGCTTTTAGAAAACCCATGCTAATTTTCCAAACTACAGATGAATACACTTTCCATGTATTTATTTTTGCTTACAAACATAATCTTAACATTATTTCTAATTGTAACTTAATAACATGGTACTGATTACATAAAGGGTATGTGACAAAATTGTATGACTATTTAATAGGAGATATGATTATCACTTTTTTTCTTGATTAACTGTTTTGAAACAAATCTATAATGTTCATAAACCTAAATAATGAATGGCTGAAGAATGCTGATGCAAGAGTATATGAAATACCGTATGAGTTTGTCCAGATGGGTGATTAATTTTTAGCCTGTTTTGGAAGTTATAATTATGAGAGTAGGTATAATAGCTGCCCAACAATATCTTGGCTAATTCATTCCGGTTTAGGTAGAAATGTAGTGGGTGCGATTGTATTATATTTAAGATGATTTTACCTCACTGGTCTTTCTATGTTTTACGATAAATCCTCTTTAATTATCTAGTGGGAGTGCAGCACGAGGGAAAGTTGAGAAAAGGTGGTAGATTTTAATCTGTAAATACTTTCATTTATTGGAGGAGTTCTGTTTTCCTCTTTGAATGTCCAGTGTGTTATTCTAAGACCATTTTGATTTTAACATATGTGGTCCATCGTTCAAGTCTAGCCACCTAGGCTATGTATGACGATGTATGTTGCGAGAATCTTATAAGAGGTGGATTGATCCTCAGAGGTGCCATTTGTTTCAGTTCTCCTAGGCATGAATGGGTTTGTTGAAGCTTAATACTGTATTTTTGGTTTTTAGCAGTCTGTTAATGTTCAATATTTAAATCTCCTCAAGAAGCTGGATCTGTAAGGTAGATATGTGATCTTACATG